TGTCATCAAGGAAGACAAGTAAATGGATTATTCCAGAAGCTCTTAGGTGCTAACATACAAAGTGTGCTGTGGAACTAAAAGGAAGGAATCCCTAACTCTGTCTGGTTGTACTAGGGCTCTCCAGAGAAACTGAGGCAATAGGATATGTGTACATAAAGATGTACTTTAAGGAATATGCTCGCACGATAATGGAGGCTGGCAATCCCAAAATCTTTAGGGAGGGGCCAGCAGGCAGGGGACTCGGGGAAGGGCTGATGTTTCAGTTCAAGTTCAAAGGGCATCTGATGGCAGAATTTCTTCTTGCTAGGGGAAGGTCAGTCTTTGTTCTATTCAGGCTTTTAACTGATTTAATGAGGCCAACCCACATTATGGAAGGCAATCTGCTTTATATGGAGTCCACCGATTTAAATGTTAATCTTATCCAAATAAAAAAAAAAACACACACACCATCACAGAAACATCCAGAATAATGTCTGAAAACACATCTGGGTACTGTGGCCCAGCCAAGTTGACACAGAATTCACCGTCACACTGTGGGCACGGGCATGGCAGCCAGAGGGTGGTGAGCTTTGAGCTAAATCTCAATGAATGGGTTGAGTGAGGATGAAAGAGATGAAGAGGAATTGACCAGGCTGAGAGTTTAGGAAGAAGGAGAGGATCCCTGGAGAGAAGACAGCGCATGCTCAACCAGAGCTGGGACAAAAACAAGGGGCTCTGGGGCAGCTGGGAACAGATCATAGCATGGAATTCAGGGGATTGGGGGCAGGAGTTGATTTTGACCTTTGTAGTAACCCACAGAGCTCCTTCCTGAGCCTGCATGCCCCCTGCCAGGGTCATCTTCATGTATTGATGCCCAGAATGTTCACTGCCACCTCTTTTGGCTAGGATGACAGCCACTGAAGGATTTTTTCCAAAACGTCTGTAGCATCCAAGACATAAAATCTGTCCCATGGGCTCAAAGTCATTTATAAACAGGAGGCAACATAACCCACAGCTTCAGAAACCCCAGAAACTAAAATACACAGCTAAGCTGCCCTTCTGGTTTCCGCTGTCTCCACAAGCACCTCCAGCCTGTGAGCTAATATCGAAATCCCACTGACTGCTCACTTAGCTTTGACAGGGACACAGCAGGAATAAGCGCTAATTTTCCTGGAAGCAGAAACAAAGGGACTCAGGAGCATGTTGCTGATGTGAAGCAAATAAAGGTGTTTATGAGAGGACCTGTATCAACCTGCCAGGGCTATGGTGACAGAGCACCGCAAACCGGGTGGCTTAAACAACAGAGACTGTTGTCTTACAGTTCTGGAGACCAGAAGCCCAGCATCAAGGTGTCCATAGACCTGGTTCCTTCGAGGGATAAGAGGGACGGATCTGCTCCAGGCCTCTCTTCTTGGCTTACAGATGGCTGTGTTCTTCCTGCATCCTCAGATCATCTTCTCTGTGTGAGCCCACATCTCTGCATTCAAACTTCCCATTTGTGTAAGGACACTCGTCATGTTGGGTTAGAGCCCACCCTAATGACCTCGTTACAAATACAGTCTCTATAAAAACCCTATCTCCAAGCAAAGTCACATCCTAAGATACTGGGGATTAGAACGTCCACATATGAATGGGAGGGGGCCACAATTCTACCTAAGGAGGACCTGAGCTGGGGGGAGCTGGAAACTACGAGAACAGCACCTAAAGCAGAGAGCAAGGTTGCCTAACGATAGTGCATGTAGTTCCCTATTGGACTACCCAGGTGATGTCTTCTGGAGGCCACATGTCCCCTCAGGGCCTCTGATATCCCCAGCCCACCTCCACAGGTCTCCAAGAGACCTCCATGAAGACAAATGTGGAAGGCAGCAGGATACGCTGTGTGCCGTTGGCATGCAGTGAAACAAACTGGGAGTAGACAGCAGACGATGGGAGAAGAGAATGGGATATGGAGGGAGCAGCTGGGAGTGGGGAGGGACCAGGAAAAGTCCTTCCATGAGCACCCAGCCAACCAGGGCCAGCCTTGATGTCACAATGGCATCTAAGAAGCAGCCACAAGATCCAGGATGAGAAACAGGAATCACCCACAGCCTTTTAAATCTCAACCAGAAGCCCCCCACCAAGGGTCCTACCTGGCTGCTTCCAGAGTGGGGCCCCTCGCTGCTGGGGCTCTTTGCTACTTTCAGCAGGACCACATTGCTGTAGGTCCGACTGCAGAAACACTCATTCCCTCCCCCTCCACCTCCTTGGGAAGAGTATCCCCCTCCCCACTGGGGACTTGGCCTCATAATTTGCATTGGTCAAGGGCACATGGGAAAACTATGCAAAGAAGGAGGCGAAATGTGTGTGTGTGGTTAGTGTGCCCTCTTCTGCTCCCGCATGGCCATGAGAAGAGTTTCTCCCAGGTAGCTGATACTCCTCTCCCGGGGCCCTGGAGTGAAGTCACAGAGAGCAGAACTGCTCCAGCCAAACCAATTTGCAAACAAGAACGTACGATCGTTGTTGTTTGCCACTGAGATTTTTGTTACACAGCTTCGTTGTGGCCATAGCTAACTGACACACATACGCCCACCCGCAGGGACATTGCCTGTGCTCTTCCCTCTGCCTGGAATAATCTTCTCCCACCCTCCTGGGGCACTTCTATTGATCCTTTAGGTCTCAGCTGAGATATCACTTCCTCTGGGGAGCTTTCCTCAGCCTGCCCCAAGGCTGGATCACATATTGCTCCATCCACACTTTTCTTAATCTCCTCTATAACTTACTATTATTGGTCATATGGCATGGTAATCACTGGTTTACTTGTCTGTAACCTCCTGTGAAAGCAGCAATCATACCATTACAGAATGAATTGTGACTCCCCAAAATACATATGTTAAAGTCCTAACCCTCAGTACCTCGGAACTTAACCACATTTGGTGGTGAGATCTTTACAGATGCAATTAATTTAAACTGAGGTCCTAAGCATGGACCCTAATCAATATGACAGGTGTCCCTATCAGAAGAGGACGCAGATATGCAGAGGGAAGACAACGTGAAGACACAGGGAGAAGGTGGCCAGCTACGTCCCAAGGACTGAGGCCTGGAACAGATCCTTCCCTTGTAACCCTCAGAAGGGGCTAGCCCTGCCAACACCCAGGCTTCCAGCCTCCAGAACTGAGTCCATAAATTCTGTCCTTTAAGCTACCCTGTCTGTGGGACTTTGCTACGACAGCCGTAGCAAGTGAACACACATACCTTATTCACATCCCAGAGCTGAGCACAAAGCCAGGAAGAGATTCAGCACTTCATGAATAATTTTTGAGTAAATGAAAGAATGCGTCATCATCCTAGAAAAGCCAGGACTCGGTCCAGGGTGTACGACTGAATTTAATCCAGGACTGATAAAATGCCGTAGATGTTCATGGAAATTGGACATCACTCATGGAGTCCTCACTAGACCCGAGGAAGCAGAATGAAACACCATTTACCAGTCCCATCCTGCAGTGGTTACAGCCCAACCAGGCCCACTGCCCGATGCTTGAGAGGAAGCCAGTAAGTCCACTGAGACGGCAGGGGTTACAGCAGAGAAAGAGTTTAATATCACAGGCGCCATGAGAGGAGATGAGAGGGATTTCTCAAATCCATCTACCTCAGAATTTGGGAGAAAGGGTTTTTAAAGATGGTGGGCAAAGACCTAGCCAAGTGGGTCTGCTGATTGATGGGGGATGAACTCACAGGGTCGGGAGGCAGAGATTATCTTCTCAGTTGGGAGATTTCCTGGGTAGGGGGTCTCAAGGCTGTCAGAGCCATTCCCACGCCTATCCACAGGTCCCATTGGCATCAGTGGGTACCCTAGGAATGCAGTGTCTGAAAAATACTTTAAAGACAAGTCTTGGGCTTTATATTAGTAATAGTAATGTTATCCATAGAAGAACACATCCTTGGGCTTTGAAATGACAATGTTATCTGTAGAAGTAGTGGAGACGTCACAAACCTTATACTTATCAGGGAGGATAGTGCCATTAAGCAGTAACCAGTTATAGTAGTTAAGTAACCAGTAAGTAACCAGTTAAGTAACCAGTTAAGGAAGTTAGGGAACAATGGCTAGTTTATTTCTGGCTGAATGTATACTTTGATAAAAATCAGACTTTGGGGCTGGGCACAGTGGCTCATGCCTATATTCCTAGCACTCTGAGAGGCCAAGGCAAGAGAACCCTTGAGCCCAGGAGTTTGAGGATGCAGTGAGCTATGATGATGCCACTGCACTCTAGCAAGGGTGACTCTGTCTCAAAAAAAAATCAGACTTTGATTACTATTTATACCTTGTGGCTCTACATTATTTTATTATAATATAGATGGTTTCACCATGGTTTATGGTCAGATGTGCAGGGGGACATACAGCATAACTACAGTCAAAGACAAAATTCAAGGTCATGAGAAACACAAACACAGAATGTGACGGAAGCATGAAGGAGGAAGGGCATCAGGACGAGACAGCTGGAGCGAAGAGCCTCGCCGGTTGTGCTTCAGTAGCAGAAGCAGCGAGAAGAGAGCAGTGCACGGCACAGCACAGGTGAAGGTGTGGAAGGGAAGCACGTTCCAGGAACAGAACAGGAGTCGGTCTCGTCTGGTTGGAGCACAGATTCACCCGGGGGAGCCACAGAGGACAAAGCTGCCAAGAGGGGCAATATTGGGCAGGGCTTTGAACGCCAGTCTGGAGCTTTCCTGAATCAATGTCTCTGCATTTACTCTCATAAAGACTGGGAAGTATGACCATTAGCTCTTCCTCCATCCCCCTACCATCCTTTAAAGAAGCATCCTTTGGCTTAATTATTCATCGCAAACACTGTCTTCTTCCCTTCTCCATTTTTTACTGTAATTTTCAATAGGAAATTTATGTATGGTCAATTAGCCCTCCAAGAACATGCTCAGCTCTGATGGATGAGCCTAGTCTTGGTTAAGACACTGCTCGGTGCGTGTGTATATGTCTGCGCGTCACGGCAGAAGACTGGAAATTAGTCCCGAAAACTAATCACCTCCTTCAAACAAAGGCAGCCAGAAGTTCTCTCCTCTGCACATTTAGATTCGGTAAATCACTTGACAACCACAGGGCTTCCCAGGACAGGATGTGCAAACAAATCTCTGTCCTCATTCAAGGTGGCCCCAGGGGTCATCTCATTTGCATGCTGATAATGCCCTGAAGGTCTGTGTAGCTTGTCACCATCCCTCAAGCACAGCCCTTGAACTTGGAAGTGCCAGCCCCTCTCCTGGCTTGAGCTTGACCTTGTTCTAGGGCAGGGTTGCTGCAAACCGTCAGGCCCTCAGCAGGAACAGCACGTCGGAAACCTGAGGCCAGCGGAGGCTGAGAAGGAGGTGAGCTAGAAATGGATGGAGAGCTGGTCAGGTCTCATACGGGATGGAAAAGGAACTCCCTGCTTTAAGTTTCTATCTAAATGTTTTAATATCCCACATTATTGCCAAAATGATGTGAGGCAACCGATGCTTAGTGCCGTAAATGTCTCTCATAGCATAGGCGCTCCTTGCTCCGGTTCCCCAATTCGTCCCACCCCAATGCACCTAAGAGCCACCATCATTAATATCCAGAGCGAGCGAATATGAAGGAAACGGCCGGTGAGGAAGCCGTGAGGTTCGTAAAAGTCCCCACCGGGGACCCCGTTGTGCTTCTGGCGTGGACGTGCCCTCCGTGCATCTCAGAGATACTGTTGTGGAATGTTAACACAGCAGTGAAACGGGTTCCCAACCAGGGCCACGCTGCCCACGAGATGCTTGGCATTTACCCACAACTGAAGGAGCTCAGGGAATTTCACCACAAAATAGGACTAATCGGTATAAAGAGTATTTCGAATTAAAGGCCCTTAGAGATCAACAGGCATTGGAAGGTGCTTTCCCTGTATCTGCATAAAACCAGAGAGACTCATCAAAAAGAACAATTGATTCCCCTTCCCCTCCCTGTTATCTTACTATATTGCAGGAAAGAATATCAAGGATGCAGCCAGACCTGGCCCAACCCACTTTAAAGATAATACCTGTGTCTCAGATTAATTTAATTTCCAAAGAGAATAATTTATAAATCAATCTCTTTCCCCACCATCCATTCATCCTCCCAAATAACTATTCTTCCTCCCTAGTAACCATTTATTGCCCCTAAACAAAATTACCCCTACTCCTCGTCTCCCCCTCCCCACTATAATGAGGGAATATAAACTTCTGGCCCCACTGGGCTCTTGGGGAATCACTCTGAGATTGTCCCTGCGTGCACAGTGATAAATTTGTAATATCTTTCTCTTATTGATCTGCTTATCATGAGTTGATCTTTCAGCAAACCTTCCCGGGCAAAAGGGATGTTGTTTTTCTTCCCCACAGAACCTTCCCCAACAGAGCTGACTATCATTAGAGAATGACAAAGCAGAGGCCACCTGTGACCCTGGACTTCGGGGTGCACATCCAGATTGTTCTGCCAGGACAAAACCAGGTTTCAAAACCTGGGTTAAAATCTTAAACCTGCTGATACTTGAGTTTTGACCTGAACCTTTCTAGACTCAGTTTCCCCATCTGCAAGGAAGGAAGATGGTGGTATTTGGAGGTAACTGGAGTCCTCTCAGGTTCTATAATAATATCCTGCGATGAGTAGTGCAACTAAGAAATCTCTGAAGTTTGCACATCAGCGTCCAAAGAGGTGCTGCCCACACCCCCTCCCGTCCTGCCACCAAGCTTCATGTCTACTTTTGGGCTTTCCTTTCCCCTTCGAGAACATTTTTAATATTCATTTTTCCTACCTCCCCAGTCATCCTGGGCAGAGAGGGAGCACACAGCTAACATCTGCCCAGGCCCCCTTCTTTGGGACCCCTAGGGCCACCATCCTGGCAGGTGCAGGGTGGCCTCGTCTTCCACTGTGCTGGCTCCTGGCAAACTTGGCCTTGGCCTGGATGAGTGGCCCAACCACATGTCCCAGGCTGAGCACCCGGAGCTGTTTCAGTTACAGGTGGGCTTTTGCAAAGCTCGTGTCTCCAGCCCAAGTTCTTTTGTAACTTTATGTGTCTATGAATGTAAAGGGAAGTCAGGACCAGATGCTTCTGATACCTTTACACTTAACTCACCAGAAAGCTGTCTAGGGCAGGGCATTTGAGAGCTAACAAAAACCTTTCTCTAAGACCCTTAGTTTAGGAAGTAAAAACCACATTTTTTTCCAGAAATCAAGTTTCACGCCAGACCCTTTACTTACCTTTGCACCATCTCCCCTTGCCCTCCACACCTGGATCCTCGGTTAATCGGGACCATCTGTCTCTGGAATAATCATTATAATTCATCACATTTGTTTCACTCTCCACCGTACCTGCTGATGATCTCATTGTATTCGGCTACGAACCTGGTGACTGAAGCAGGGCAGGGACAGTTATCTTTGCCCCCCACAGGGGAATCAAAGGGCTTAAGTGATCAGTCAACAGAAAAGAACCCAAGATCAGTCAACAGAAAAGAACCCAAATTCTGTGCAATAATTTAAAGAGGCTTATTCTGAGCCTAATATAAGAGAGCCATGCCCAAGAAGCCTTGAACAGGTGGTCTCCCTGTGGTTGGGTTATAGTTCGATTTTATACACTTCAGAGAGACAGGAATTACACATATAAAGTCATAAATAAATACATGGAAGGCGTACATTGGTTTGGCCCAAAAACACAGGACAGCTCGAAGCAGGACATTATAGGTTATAGGTGGGTTTAAAGATTCTTTGATTCATAATTGGTTGGAGAAATGAAGCTTGATCTAAAGGCTTAGACTGTTTTTTTTTTAAGGCTTAGAATGTTTCCAGTTAAGATAAGGAAGTCTGTTAGTCAGAGACAAGCCACTAGACATATACGGTACAGATACCCAAACTCAAATGATCTGTTAAGCAAATTGATGACCTGCAGGTGTGGTTTAAGCTTCGTGTTATATAGCCTTTGGTCTGTTAATGAGTCACAAAGGACATCTCCAAGAAGGGAAGGGGGCTATGATGAGGTGTGTCTGACCTCCCCTTTCATGGCCAGCAACTCAGCTTTAGGTTATTTCCGGTGTTCCCTTGGCCAAGAGGGGGCCCATTCAGTCAGCTGGGGGCTTAAGATTTTATTTTAGTTCACATCAGCTTAATCGGCACAGGCTGGCCCGGACTCTAGAGTCCTAATTCTAAGACCCCGGCTCTCAAACATGAGCCTGCACCAGAGTCGCCAGCCGGAAGACTGCAGGGCCCCACCCCACAGTGGGTCTGGAAGGAGTCCTGAGAATTTGCTTTTCTGAACAATCCCCAGATGATGCTCCAGATGCTGATGGCCGTGGGCCCACACCTGGAGACGCACTGTCCCAAACGTACCCCCAGGGGACCTCGTTGAATCCTCCCTGAGTGTGCAGAGCTGTCTTCCTCGGTATCATCCAAGCCTAGCAGATAAAAAAAAAAGGAACTGTCTTTCATCACGTACTGGCAAAGACAGGCCGGCAACAACGGGCCGTTTTTGCTGGGACTTGTCCCCGACCGTGAGCGACAGACACCTCCCCGCCGCCACTTCTCAGCTTCCTCCGCTCGCTCGGCTTCCCCGCTGGAGCTCCCTTCTCCTCGGTCTGTTTTGTCTCCTAACGTCTTGTGACATTTCCCCGCTATTACATCTGACACCTCAGAGGTAGTGGGACTGGATATCACTCACAGCTCATCGTTCCCCCTCAGTGACTGCCGCGCTCCTTAGCGCCACCCCCACAGGCACAATCCCCACGGGGGCAATATTGCCTTTTTGGCATCGTCAGTTAATTTGCTCATTTCCACGTTATTGAAAGCACTCTGAGTCTTAATTAGTCCTCTTTAGCTGCTTTTCCCCGCAGCCCCGTGTCGCAGAACCGAAGGCACCGGAGCACGGTGAGGAACAGGCCTAATTAACGGGCCCACGATGGAAACTCTGCCACGGAGTCTGCAGAAGACAGAGACGACGGGTGTGTAAAGCCGGCGTGGTGACAGGGAGGGGAGCAGGGCGGAAGGGCGTCAGGTTTTGTGAGCGGTATCTGTTGTGCGAGGCTGCCTCGCACCTCCTCGCCTTCCAGAAACTGTACCCCCAATTCCAAATGGCTCTGGGGGAGTGGGGGCTGTCAACTGCAGAGTCAAGATCCCACCCCCTGGCTGAAGATGGGGAGCGTGATCAGGGTCTGGCCATCCGGAGGGCGCCACCCTTCCGGGGTCAGATCTGGCAAAGCACAGAACCCCAGCTGGGGCAGCCAGACTTCCTTCCCAGCGTTTTCCTGCTGGTACAGCTGGGAGGTCTGCCTTTGGCCAATGGGATCATAAGACTGGAAGGATACGGCTCTTTAACTGCCAAGGGTCGTCTTCCCCGCAGCATGGAAGATGCCAGTCTATAGCAAAAGAGAATGGGGCCAAAATTCAGCGAGCGGCAGAGCCAGGAGGGGGAGGGAGATCAGAGGGCCCCACAGGCAGAGTCGAGCCTCTGCCCTGCGATGCCAGCACTACCCCTCCCCTGCCAGCACCTTCCTCCTAAGTGCAACAGACAAGGACTTCCTAGTTCGCGTCACATGCCACTAAGATGTAAGCAAGCTCCTGTGATCAGCATCACCCGCCCATCTTCAGACCAGTTGCCATCATGGGGCCCTGACCCTGAGTTGGTCCCAGTTAGGCCAAGAAAGTGGCCACAAAGACACTTTCTTATCTCCCATCCCTTTGGGGCCATACCCAGGAACTGTGTTTCTACCTCCTTTAAACCTACAAGACCAGGTTCCCTAAAGTACCAGGTCCTGTTCCCTGTCCTAGGATGTCAGTCACAGGTTGTCACATCCCTTCGGATGCCATGGCCACATGCTGGCCACCCCACTTGGGGGACATCCTTATGTAGCCAGTTACTACCGACCCTGTTCCTGCTCTGAACCAGCCTCAGCCCTTTTCTCTGGACTCATTCCACAGGAAATATTTATTGAGCACTTAGCATGTGCTTGGCACATCTGGGAATCAAACAGACATGTGTCCTTTTGCAGGGAAGTCACAGTCCAGCAAGGTGCAGAAGCTTCTGGAAACAGCCTGCCCAGTGAAGACGGTTCCTTTGTCTTATCTACATACGTCCATGTACAAACTCAATGTCCAGCCCTCAGGCCCTTGGTGGTCCTGCAGGGCAGGGCACAGGGCTTCTCACCCCCAGTGATCCTGGTAGGAAAACCCAGTGCGGCTTCGGTCCCACAGAAAAAAGATTCCTCTCGGAGTTGGGCATGGACTAGGGGATTCCTAAGAGCCTTTTTGATCCTGAGCTTCCAGCTTCTGACACTGTTTTCCTTAGGACACAAAACCATCTCCATCCACACATGTACAAGTACTTCTACCACTTCCTGTATTTTTTTTTTTTCCTTTTACAAAACATCCTTGTTTGGCCCTCTGGAGATTTTTGCTTTACCTTGTTTTGTTTTATTTTTTATGGATTATTTCAGATGTCTTCTTGGTTGAAAAATAAGGCATGTTCATTATAGATCATTTAGAAAAGAGAAAAATTAAAAGAAACAAACAAACAAACAAAAATAACCACAACCAAATAAACAAAAAAATAACCACAGTCTTGGTGTCCCAAGATAACTGGTATTGGCATCATGCTCTATCATATGGGCAGTCATGTGTTGCCTAACAACAGGAATGCATTCTGAGAAGTGCTTCATCAGGCAATCTTGTCATTGTGCAAACATCACAGAGTGTTTTTATACAAACCTAGATTGTGTAGCCCACTACATGCCTAGGCTATGTGGTGTAGCACATTGCTCCCAGGCCACACCTACGCAGCATGTTATTGTACTGAATTCTGTATGCAACTGTAACACAATGGTAAGTATTTGTGTATCAAAACATACCTAACCATAGAAAATGTACAGTAAAAATAAGGTATTGTCATCTTATGGGACCACATATTATATGTGCTCCATCATCGACCAAAATGTCATTATACAGTACATGACTATAGGTAGAAATTTGTTTTTAATAAATAAATACCCTATTTTATATAAAATTTGAGATCCCACTTTCCTTACTTTACCCTGAGTAAGTTTTTTCCTATCTTAATTATTCTCTCAAGTCATGATTTCTTTTAGATTGTATACTATTGCATCATACGAACCTATCAAAATTTATTTGAGTCCCATGTTGTTGGGCATTTAGGTTCTGTTATTCACTTTTATGATTAGCACTGCCATGAACATCTTTAAGCACCAGTCACTTTCCTCAATATAGTTTCTCAATGCTGGAATTACCAGTCAAATAACAAACATTTTCGGATTCTTAAAATATGCCGTCAAAGTAAATTCCATCGAAATTATACTAATTGCATTAGTTTCCTATTACTTCTGTAACAAATTACTGGCACAAACTCGGTGCTTTAAAACAACACAAGTTTATCGTCTCACAGTTCTGTAGATTAGAAGTCCAAAATGGGTCTTGCTGGGCTAAAATCAAGGTGTCAACAACACTGCCTGCCTCTCTGAAGGTTCCAGGGAGAATCCATCTCCTTGCCTTCTCCAGCGTTCGGAGGTCACCTGCATCTCTTGGCTGGCGGCCCCTCCCTCCGTGCTCAAAGCCAGCAAGGGTAGTTGGAGTCCTCCTCACATCACATCCCTGATCCTCCTTCTGCCTCCCTCTACCACCACTTTTAAGGACTCTTGTGATTACATGGGGTCCACCCAACTAATCCAGGATCATCTTTCAATTTTACAGTTAGTTTACCAACAACTGTAATTCCCTCTGCAACCTTAATTCATCCACGCTACGTAACATAACATATCCTCAGGCTCTGGGAATTCAGACACGGACGTTTTTCTGCCCACCATCAATTTGGACCACAACAACTAGTGGGTAAAATGTTGCTATCATTGCATTCTCAGCAGCATTAGACATTTATTTACCTTTAATCTTTGACAAATTGGTAGGCAGAAAACCAGGCTCTCTTAGTTATTGTTATTATAACTAATTTTTTTTACCATTTTATATTTTTTTCTGTCTAGAGCACACCTGTTCTCTCTTGATTATTCTATATTTCTTTCCCGTCTTTACTTTTTAAATAGGAAATAGGAACAACCAGTTCAAGGGTATCTGTGAGAATAATCCATGACCAAAATCTAAGAGACTAAATGGCTTGTCACTTCATTCATGCTGCAAAAGACTCATCTGGAATCCCAAAGTCCTTCCCATTTCAGCCCCCAGATTTTCCCAAACTCCCATTCAACCTCCCAAAAAGACTGGCAGATGTCCCTCAAAAAGCCTGATTTATGATAACTCCATCCAACAATCCAATGTGCTTGGTTATCTAGGACTACAATGTCCAACCCACCCTTCTGGGGCTCCATCCAGAAGGCCAGCTTACAAAAAAATCACACATTTGGCAGAAGTCGTGTTCCTTTGTGACACAGGTGACTGACAACACCTGGCGTGAGATTTTCCAGGCCAAAACCATTCCACAGGACTCTCAGATGTCAGCAATACACTTGTCCAGGCCCTACAACAGGAATGAACTTCATTGAGAGGAAACATAAATATTTGTGCAGTCCACTGCCACTACCAAGAAGTGAGACAGCTGCTCTCTGGATAGGAACAGAGTCAGCCTGCTTTCACAAATAAACATCAGTTTCACAGCCTGCATCTCCAGTATCTACTGCAGCATTGTTTGATCTATTTTAGGTCTTGTACCTCTTTGAGAATCAGAAAAATCCACGAGCCAACTCCTCGCTACCTCCCCAAATGCACATCAAGTACACAGACATAAAATTTTGCATCATAAGGGATTTATGGACTCCCTGAAGCTCTTCTATGAACCCCTAGTGGCTTACACAGGGGAAAACTTCTGCTATTATAAAGCATATGATTTTTTTTTTTTTTGAGACAATGTCTCACTCTTCGCCCTGGGTGGAGAGCAGTGGTGTCTTCATATCTCACTGAAACCTCAAACTCCTGGGCTCAAGTGATCCTCCTGCCTCAGCCTCCCCAGTAGCTGGGACTACAGGTGTGTGCCACCACACTAGGTTAATTTTTTCTACTGTTGGTAGTTACAGCATCTCACTTTTGCTCAGGCTTGTCTCGAACTCCTGACCTCAAGTAATCCTCCCGCCTCGGCCTCCCAAAGAGCTAGGATTACAGGCATGAGCCAGAGCACCCAGCCTGAATTTTGTTTTAATGAACAGATAATATCCACACTCTAGGCACCAACTAGAAAAGTAGGTGTAACTCAATCTGTGAGTTGATCAATCTAAGAAAAGCAGTCTTAGGTATGAATCGGAGCTTTTGCTGGGTTATGCTGCGGTAATGAGCATCCCCTTGATGGCTCAGTGGCTTTTGACAGCACAGGTTTGTCTTTTGCTTGAGTGACCTGTTCTTCACTCGTTAGTTACTACTCTGATC